GAATAGATACCCAGTTAATGCGACTAAATGAGGTATAATTATTTTGTTCTAATTAAATTTGAGAAAAAAAAGGAAGTTGTTGTAAATGAATTTTAACTACTATAAAATAATTGAAGTCCATTACAGTAAGTTTAACAGAATCTATAATTATTTTTTTCAATTATTATTATTAAATTCAACTGCTATGTTTTCTAATACTATTGTTGCGTCAGCGAGGTCACGTGACTAGTGTCACGCCACTTCTTTCTCGAACCTTCGGGAGATTACTAGATATAGGGAAGTCTGGTATATATAAGAGGGTGACAACGTGACGGGACAATGTGTGTAGGTAGTGAGTAATTGATCTGCAGTGAGAAAGTATTGTTGAAGTTAACGTTCGTTATAGCGTTTGTTTGAGCGCGAATGTTGAAATCAAGTGTATCGTGAAGTTATATTCAGAAAGAATAAACCAGTTTTATTAAGTAAGGACTTGTGTCGCTAAAGTTTCGTCGGTTTGTTTGTTTGTTTTTAATTATGCACAAAGCTACACAAGGGCTATCTGTGCTCTGCCCACCACGGGTATCGAAACCCGGTTTCTAGCGTTGTAAGTCCGCAGACATACCGCTGTGCCACTGGGGGGCCAAGTTTCGTCGGAAAGTTAATTAACAAACGGAGGCGTAACAAATTGGTGTCAGAGAGTGGGACTAAAAAAAATGCAAACGAGAAGCGGCAAATCAAACTACAGCATAGTCGACTTGATGGCAGCAATACAAGAACAGCAAAAGAAACAAGAAGAACGAGAAAAGAAACAAGAAGAACGAGAAGAGAAATTACAGCAGTTGTTAAAGGAAAAAGAAAAGAAATAAGAAGAACGAGAAAATAAACAAGAAAAGAAACAAGAAGAGAGACAACAGCAGTTGCAAGAAAACCTGCAACAGCGGCAGCTCGAACAACAAAATAAACAAAAGAGATTACAGGAGTTGTTGGAGGAAAAAGAAAAGAAACAAGAAGAACGAGAAATTAAACAAGAAGAGAGATTACAACAGATGTTGGAGGAAAAATAAAAGAAACAAGAAGAACGAGAAATTAAACAAGAAGAGAGATTACAACAGTGGTTGGAGGAAAAAGAAAAGAAACAAGAAGAGAAATTACAGCAGTTGTTGGAGGAAAAAGAAAAGAAACAAGAAGAGAGACAACAGCAGTTGCAAGAAAACCTGCAACAGTGGCAGCTCGAACAACAAAATACACAAGAAGAAAAATTACAGCAGTGGCAACTGGAACAAGAAAGGAAACAGGAAGAAAGTCTGCAACAGTTGCAGGAAAGTCAGCAGCAACTACAGGAAAGTCAACAACAGCGGCAAGAAGTACAAATGGAAAACATTA